TGTCATAAAATTCACAAAATTATATCATTTTTAATCAAAATCCAGGTGAAGGAGAAGACAACAGTTTCATGGACAGCAATGAAATTGTTACTCGCACCAAGTTCCCAGAAAGTTGGCTCTGGTCTGATATCAAATTGCCTCCTTGCCCTAGAAACACACCTAACTGGTGAGTCACAGTAAATCACAAACACATACAAATGAAGTTACATCTTAACATCTCTCAGACTGTAAACATTTTTCTATATTTCAGTGACACCACATCATTTGTGAAAAGTGTTCCTTTGCAAGATTCAATCACAACCTGGCAGTTCACCGGCATCAGTCTGTCAAGAACTCACGGTGAGGATTCAGTGACTAAAATATGGCTTTTTTTCGCCTTCCCTTTACTTTTTTAAAAAAAAAATGTCATTCTTTTCTGCATATTTTCTTTAAGGAATCTGTGTGGGTGATCCATTTGAGGTCATTGTCAAGAAGGATTTCTTCATTGATCTCAGGCTGCCTTATTCTGCTGTCCGTGGAGAGCAGATAGAAATTAAAGCAATCCTCCACAACTACAGCCCTGATCAAATCACTGTAAGTACAGAACCACAATAATTACTGAACTGAAACACAGTGGTGTCCAAAAGTGTCATCTTGTGTAGTTTATTATGTGCATTTTCATGTTGTGTTCTCAAAATCCTTTGAAAAAAAGAGAACTGATTATTAAAGAGATTATTTCAACAAAGCTTAGAAATTTAGTGCGTGTTAACCATAGTCTGCTCATTTTATGTAAAAATGTAGTTTGTTGTTGTTTTGGTTCATGAGCTTGAATTTTTTTAATTTGTGTGTTATATATAAGTGTAGACTTGTATATAGTTAAACATTATATAATGCTGAATTTTGAATATTGATTTATAAATAATAGAATTTCAATCAAGGGGGTAGGAACAGAAAAAGTGTAAGTTTCATCCTACTCCTTTTCGAGCATAAACATTGTGTAGACAAGATATATATATTGATAGATATTCACAAAAAGTTAATGTCATTAAGTTTTTCTTTTCTCTTGTTGTTTTAGTCATAATTACATGTTCAAAGTAAAACTATTCTATCTATCTATCTAGGCTTATCATATATTACTAAAATTGAAGAGTACGATCCCTTTTTCTGGTGGTGGTCAGAGGGCCCGGTGGCCCCAGTGTCCGGCAGCCTCGCCTCTGTCAGTGCGCCCCAGGGCAGCTGTGGCTACAATGTAGCTTGCCGTCACCAGTGTGTGAATGTGTGTGTGAATGGGTGAATGACTGAATGTAGTGTAAAGCGCTTTGGGGTCCTTAGGGACTGAGTAAAGCGCTATACAAATGCAGGCCATTTACCATTTACCATTTTTCATGTTGAGTTTATTACCTTCGTTTTCTGTAAATAAGGAGTAACTGAAATTGCCGAAAGTTAAAGGAATGCTCAAAAAAATCTCCGTATTTCATCAGGATCTTTGTATTCTTCCAGTTTGAAACACCACATGATCAGTCTCTTCTCCAACTTTGTCATTGCTGTTTTTCTTTTATAAAGGTACGCATTGATTTGACTGAGGAGGAGCACGTGTGCAGTTCAGCTTCCAAACGTGGTAGGTATCGCCAGGAGGTCACTGTTGGGCCCGAGACCACACGATCTGTCCCCTTCGTAATTATTCCCATGAAGGAGGGAGAACGGCGCATTGAGGTTAAAGCAGCTGTTAAGGACTCATATCTCAATGATGGCATCATGAAGATGTTGCGGGTGGTGGTAAGAAAACCAATGTTTGCTATTTGGATGCCCAAAAATGTGTTCAATATCACTTTCTTATTAAATAAAACAAAAACCAAAAAATGTCTTATCTGAATGTGAACAGGCCTTTCAAAATTGTAGTAAAGGTAGTAATAAAATAATTTGAAAGTTATTGTTTGTTGAGGTTTAGGCACAAAAAGGAACAGACAGAAACAACAACTGGAGTCTGGCTCAATCCCAGACCAAACGTCAGACTGATAATTTTGTACACTAATAATATGTGTTGATCTTTTGTTCTAATCACTACATGATTATTACTGCCAAAAAATTTCCCTTAACAATCTCAGAAATCATCAAAAATATTATCAATAATCATACTGGTCAAATGCATTTTTAGTTCATTGCTTGTTTTGTGTCTATTTTGTAAAAGGGATTTTATTTAAAATGTGACTTAGGTCAAGTTAGAAAAACTATGTGATTTGAATTAAAATAACAGGTTAATATGGTTAATGTTGCAGGAAGTCTGTCACCTTGGTTAAAGTTACACGGGAACAATATTTAATAATTACGTATAGTTAAAAATAGATAATGATGTTGTTGAAATTTAAATAGACCTGACAGTTGCTAAGTCAGACATCTAAAGCTTTACAGATGGCCAAAATGTTGCAACCAGACAGTTAAGTGAAGGATTTTCAAAACATCAACACTTAGTTAACAGTGTTGAGGATCCTGCCACTTAACCACATCATGCCAGATACAGTGGGGCAAAAAAGTATTTAGTCAGCCACCGATTGTGCAAGTTCCCACACCTAAAATGATGACAGAGGTCAGTAATTTGCACCAGAGGTATACTTCAACTGTGAGAGACAGAATGTGAAAAAAAAATCCATGAATCCACATGGTGGGATTTGTAAAGAATTTATTCGTAAAT